CACACCACTGGGATCTCAGAAAATGTGTGTGGAAGCGTTGTTAGGGGTCTGATTATAGGGTGAGTGTGTGTTGACCCGGGTGTAAACTGCAGGGCTTTCGAGAAGCATCTGGAAACCTCACCTTCTCCAAATGTGTCCTGTCTATCTTGTCTCACCACGTGCCTGCATTTCTACAGTGAACAGTTGATGAAACCTGGATTGTGACTTGTGGGGGGGGGCATTTTCTGACACATTCCATGAAACTCCCAGTGGACAGATGAAGGGGTGATATAGAGAGACGATCATTGTTTGATGTAGAGTTGAAGCAAAGCGTGAGATTCGTGAATCTGTTTTGCTACCGCAGTTCACTTGCTAGTTTCTTTAACTCTGCTATCAGCTGTTTTTGGAAAATGAACAAACCAACATCTATCAGAAAGCGGGCTCTGGACCTGCCTTATTAAAGCCACTGAAGAGTCCTGATCAAAGTGCAAACTAGATCAGTCTTCTTTCTCCGCGTTTCAGGAAGAGTTCAGAGCCTGCATCTAGAATCTCCATGTCTTAAACACCACAGAGTGCTGTGAACCCTGAGCATTAAAAGCTGTTTTTTTTATGCGCTTAATTTGAAATATATTTATGTTGAGGCAAAAAGCATCTCATTCCAGTGAAATTGTGGACTTGGGTGAATGAATAAACGAAGAGAATAGTGTGTGAATCCTCCTCCCATGCCTTTGTGACTGGCTTGCTGATTCTTCCGTAGTTGCTTTGAGAAGGTTTAGTGCCCAGTCATTAAACCTCACGGAAACAGCCTGTTAAAAGATAATCCTCAAAACATGTATTTATGTTTATTGTCGGGTCAGAAGACTTAACATTTTTTAAAAATGCCAGAGTTTTCATGATTACACATTCCCAGCAAGCCATCTCAAGTCTGCTTTTCCTGCTGTATAAAACAAGGAGCTTGGGGAATGACTGGTCAGATGTGCTAGTAAGTTCCAAGGTCATTTTTTATGCAGTTCAGCAATACATTCCACCGTGTATGGGAGACAGAAGATACAAACCTCAGATTACTAGGTGGCATACTTGATTAGTTTGTATGTTCCCTTCCAGCTCTTATTTTGGTTCAGTTTTACCACTTTGAGCATTTCATTTAGTGGTTGAAGAATGTGCTTGGTCCTGTTTATGAAGAAAAGTTTATAATTGCAGAGGTGAAGTTTAACATTTGCTCACACGAGACATCACCTGTTTACTATGTGGTAAATGTGAAGTGTAAACTAGGCAAGTAAGACATTCATGTTATTGTAAAGATAAATAGAAAAAGCCGAGGATCATGTTGGGATGAGTATTTGCAAAGTATTCAAGACAAACAAATCTGAAATTAAAAATTCAACCTACTAATACAAATCAAAATGGGTACTCAAAGCTACAAGATTCAAAGGTCACTTTTTCCTTCCATGTATCACTTTAGGTTCATAGCTCAAAAATTTGTTGGACCCTGCTGCTAGGGTCAAAGTCTGGCATTCTCAGACAGCCCCTGAGCTTGGTGCAAACAGGACAGCAGGCTCCCTCTTCTCTGGCTGATCTGGGAAGCCTGAGTCCCTTCAGCCCTACCTAAAGAATGTCCTTTACATTCTAGACACTTGGTGTCAAGCTGAGTTTCACAGTACCATGTAAGCATTAAACTGTGTTACTCCCATGAGTATTCCACATATAGAAATATCTCAGCGTCATTAGATGACCTTGGAAATGTGGCTATGAAGAGTGAGGAATGAATTTACATGTAAAAATGACAAGGGCAAATTTCAAAAGGGTCTGTACTGTTGCAGAAAACAAATGTACTCATTCTACAAAAAAGATGTAAAAACATTAAGGGTAAATGTTTCTTTTTCCCTTTTAAACTTGAAAGATTATCATATCTCAGTTCTTTGGGATATCAATAAAATTTGTTTTTGTTTCTTCCTGAAAGCATAAGTCCCTAGGGAAAAAACATGCTCAACTTCCTTTCTCCCAGTAGAACCTGTTCAGCAAGCATCTGGAATTCCTGGAAATTCCCTGCACCCTATACTAATGAGATCTTAGCTTTCAACCAATAACCTTTATTCATGCCTCTAACTGTATTTAGAGATCTTCCCCCCAAACAGACACAGACCCCACCCCGATGCCCATAGGATAACTAAGTACTGTGTTCTCCTTTTTTGTTAGGACTATACCCCTGCACATAAATGAAGTATCCTGGCACCCCTAGCTCCCTCCCTTTAATCAAATACATTTACCCTCAAAAATCCTCCCATTGCCTAAGGTTTATAAGTCCCTGTTTCACATTAAATAAATGAGCCAGGCAGCCTCTGAGCTGCACTTCTGAGCTTCCCCCATTCACCAGCGAATCAGTGCAGCTTGCTGGCAGCATAGTGCCCATCTAGGGGAGAAAGCGGCCAGCTGTTTTCGAAGTAGCCACCAACTCACCCAAGTGAGGCTGAGCACCCATTGCCGGCTGGCTTGTGTTTTGGAGCCCTTAGCTCTTTTGATCCCTCGCTTATATCACGTTTTAATAAAAATTAAGGTTATACTCAATACTTTTATATTTGTTTTAATGAAGGCAAGAGAGTTAGGGTTATTATTTTGCTTTGGCCCTGTGGTTAGGGAACCTGAGATTTGAACTGGATGAATCAGGAATAAAAACCAGTGCTGAGGCTAGTGGTGGGTCAGATCTAGGGGCTTGTTTGTTTGATTTTGTTTAAGGAGGCTTTGTTTTTTAAAATGAAAGTGACAATGTGCCCACAGACAAATATTCGAAAAGTGATTAATGTCCAGAAGTCTCATTCCTGACTTCTAGGCAGAAGCAGCTACTGTCTGCAGTTTTGGAGTATCCTGAACATTTTTTTCCTCAGTGTTAACATATAGTGATTCGATATATATGTGCACATATATGTGTTTACATATTAAGTATGCCACTTTGTGATTCATTTCCACCAACTTTTCACAGATATAGTTCGTGGGTATAGTTTTCGTTACGTCCATGTCTGGCTATGCTTTTGCCATCAAAGCCTGCAGCATGAACACACCACCGTGCATTTTGTAATTTCTATATGGGTGGATCTTTATTGCCTTTATGGCCAATGAGTCTCTTTGTCAGAATATATTCCTAGGACAGATTCTTAAGCGTAGAATTATGACGTTAAAGAAAAGCCCACCTTAAGTGTGACATATTTTTTCAGGTTGTCTTCAGCTGGATTGTTGTCCCAGCTGTTATTCTTGTCAAGGTGATAATTTGGGGGATATTTTAAGCAGTTTCTTAGTCATTATCAGTTTTTGTTAGTGCCTTGAATGTATACATATAATATGTCAAAGGTACAACTTTTATTGTAATTTTTATTTTTTGAATGTCATAGCCAGAGGCAACCTAACCTTTTGTGTGCCCTGGAAGTTGCCTACCTTCACTTGGCTCATGGTGGCAGTGTTTCCCAGGCAGACAAAGGATCGGTGATCTTTTTGAACTTTCGTGGTGCTGGGGAATTGGCCTAGGGCTTCTGATATTTGTGATTGAGCAATATCCCCAGTCCTTGAAATGATCTTATCTGGACACTAGATAAAAAAAAAAAAATACAAATAATGTCTTGAGGATATAAGCTAAGTTTACTAGGTGGAAAGTTTCTTTTCTTTTTAAACTCTTTAGTTTAAGGCTCACTATGTATTAAGCATTCTTCTGTATTTAGTCTTTTAGTGAAAGCTTAATTATCATTAAGAAGTTTCAGTCTAAATATTCTAAATACAACTGCCACTCCCACCCCCTTTCCCGGATTCTGGGCATTAAATCCAGGGACTTGTACCTTCCAGGCAATTCATTATTCTACCACTGAGCAGCTCCCTTAGCCCGTGACTTAGGCCAATGAAGAACTCTGACCTAAACACAGAAATTTAATTTTTTTGCTTCTTACAAAGCATGAGTGTGGTGATATAGAAGTGGAGAAGGACCAGTCTTGAAAGCAGTTATCAGCAAATGAGCGTGCTGTGCTGATGTACCTAGCTCTCTTTTCCTGTCCACACCCCCTTCCTTCCTGCCTCCCTCCCTTCAGCTCACAGTAAGGGGGTCACTTTAGAATGTGAGGTCTTTGTTCCCTTCAAACAACCTCTATTACAAAAATCTCCCACCAGCATTTACTTTATTCCTCAGATTTTCAGTTCTCATGGGGCAGTGGTTCTCAACCTGTGGCCTGAGACCCAGGGGTCACCTGAGACCATCAGAAAATACAGATATTAACCTTATGATTCATAACAGTAGCAAAATTAGTTACGAAGTGGCAACAAAAATAGCCTTATCGTTGGGAGTCGCCACAAAATGAGAAACTGTATTAAAGGGTCGCAGCATTAAGAAGGTTGAAAACCACTATTGTAAGGTATTGTACACGCTGTCTTTTTACATTTCCTAAAATTCCATGTAATATATATGAATTAGGCAAGCATATGAAGTTCAAGAGGTCATTTCGAAAATCATTTCTTAAAGCAATAAATATAATTTAAAAAAAAGAATGTGAGGTCCTTTTGCATTTGCAGTTGAAATGCCATTTTTCACTATATGTTGGTCTTTCTGTACTTTGCAACACTTAAAATTTAGGAAGCACCTGATTCTTAATGTTTACCCTAGAATTCTGAGGACCAGGTAGATGAATTTAATTCATATAAACTTGATCATTTATGTCTCTGCCTCAGCATTGTAATGGAAGTAAAATTCTCAGGCAGGAGCAATAGTGCACAAGATTCTCTGAAAAAACTATTATATTGAGCAATTAGCACATTTAAACTTTGGTTTTGTTTGAAACAAGGTCTCAGCACATAGCCTTGGATGGCCTAGAAAGGCTTATGGAGGTCAGGCTAGCGCTGAGCGTCAGGCAGTCCTCCTACCTCTGCCACTCAAGTACTAGGATTACCGGTGTGCAACACCAGGCCCACTGGTAGGCGTTGGTGTTTTGTATTGGACTTTGTCTCATTTTGACCAGTGCCTTCATAATGTCTTCTCTTGTTTCACACAGGCCTTCTTGCATCGAATGAACCAGTGTGCAGCAGCAAAGCTTGACAAAAATGTGACGGAGGAAACAGTGAAGGTGAGCAGGCAGCGTTAGCCCCTGAGCCAAGCTTGGGTACCCTGAAGGTACCTGTGTCCATAGGCTGTTCCTTCAGGGCCCTTCAATTTGCTGTGAGCTCCACTGCTAGGTTCCATAACAATGGTAATTTGAAAGAGGGAGCTGAGGTTTGGAGAAAGAAAGGGAAAGGACACCTTGTAGAGAATTCTTGTGTTTACCAAGTAAAACAATTGAAAAGATGAAGAAAATAGTGCGTAAGATGTAAGACTAGAACCTCAGGATCTACAAGAAGAAGGCTGGGAGAGATGACAGGAAGTTGCCAGAGTAGTTTAAGAAGGCAAGATATGGGGAAAGTGGGAATTCCAGTCTCTGTGATCTCAAATGAGCAAGATTTGGATGGTCCACTGGAGTACAGAAAAGAAAGTAATATTTCAACCCGAAAGCAGGTCTATAAACATTTCTTGTAAGATGTAGGAAAGGGGTCCTGGGGCGTAGCTTAGTGGTAGTATGTGTTCTGGGATGGTTACAATGTCACTGCAGGCATCACGGGAGCAAACTGGGAAATGCCACAGGGTTACTGAAGAGTATGTAGCGATTGAGGATCTTCATTCCATCCCCTGTCCCCCAACCCCCTCGCCCCACCAACACACACACAACATGTGCACTCAGGAAAAGTTGTGAAAAGTTTTGAAAAAAAAATAAAGAATGGTAGGTAAATGAAAATTGATTTTTTTCTGTAGTGGCTGCTGATTTTGCTAACTTACTGTTTTACAAAAATCCAAGGGTTTTTGTTGTTTGTTTGTTTGTTTGTTTGGTAGAGTCTTCTAACTGTTCTCTTATAGGTTATATATCTAACTTACAGACATTTCTACCATTGGAAATTTTAGTTTACAAGCTTTTGGGTTCAGAGAAAAGCAGCCTATGGATCAAATGAATTTGAACACTCTCACAGGGACTCCAGGAGGAAGAAAACACCTGTGCAGGTGTTTGAGGGTCCAGAGTGTTGCTAGTCTTCTGCAGCACCGAACTCCACCTGGGTGCCACACATTGACCTTGCACTTGACCCAGCTGTGACTTCTGCACACAAGCACCTGCCAGAAGGAGGAAGGAAGGCCCTGGATACCTTTCAAAGTGTCAAGGACCTTCCTGAAAGCTTGTCAGCAAATCTGCCCACACTTTAATTTACAGGCATTCTGGGAAGAGGGTGGGACTGGCAGGCGGGGATTTGCCTACCAGGGCTTTTTCCTGAGTGTCTGCATAGTGTCCTCATCCCCAGAGTTCTGTGGCAGTAGAGAAGTTCGGATGCACTTGGGTTCTGCTTGCCTGGTGTGAGGAAGACGTGGTTGATGTGCTATAGTTATCTGCTTGGGATGTTAGCCCTCCCGGGCTTTTTAATTTGATTTTTCACATTTGTTTCACAACTGCATTTACAGCTTTTCCTTATGTATTCATTTTGCAGATGTTATTCTCCAATATTGAGGAGATCCTTGCCGTACACAGAGAATTCTTGAAAGTTGTGGAAGAATGCTTGCATCCTGAACCCAATGCTCAGCAGGAAGTAGGAACCTGCTTCCTTCACTTTGTAAGATAATGGTTTTCCTTTTTTTTTTTTTCCTGTTTATTTTTAAACTCTTTCTTTCTTCATTTTAAGGATTGCGTCTTGGCAGAGTAGTATGTGTGAATTCAGCAGGAGTGGTAAAGTCAGACACCAGAAGTTTGGGGTCTTTTAAGGCCAATGAAGTCTTGCCCTCAGAGCCAGAAAGGGGGAGGAGCTTCTCATCAACCATTTCACTCAAAGAATAAACAGCCTTTTCTTTTTCCTCACAAGCCAGTCCGTCGCATCCTCTGTAGCTTTGGATTCTAATGAATATTCAGCCTGTTTCAAAATGAATGGATTTTTATGTTTCGCTCAAACATAGAACATTTTTCTTTCGAGGCAGAAAATTCTCACTCTTCTAATGGCACTGGGGGCCCTTTATTGACCAGAAAGTCCCTTTGTTAGTTGGATGGTGACAAACCTGGAGGTGAGCAGACCCTGGCTTCCCCTAAGTGATTTTCCTCCAGAGTGGCTTCTCGGAAGTTTGTTCGGAGTGCTGTGGAAAGAGTGAGGGTCGGGCCTCAGTTGCCTAGGACATGTACTCTGTGTCTTGTCATCGGTTTCATGCGTTTGTACAGGCTAGCTGGAATGATGGAATTGCTTTGCACAGCACAAAGCCACCCGCTTAAGGACTATTGTTTTTAAGAACTAGAAGGCATATTCATTTTACAGGAATAAGTTTTAAAAATATGTCATTATTGATCCCATTCCATTGGTGCCAATGTTCAGAATGCCTCCCAGGATCCCATGGCTACCCAATGACCGCCTCACTTCAACGGCTAGGTGAAAGTATTTACATCCAACTGAAGTTCTGTGAATGTTTCCCACTTAGTCATTTATCTTGTAGTTTCTTTATCTATAGGGGATGAACAGGCTCTTTTTGTAATCTTTATTTCATAAATAGAATTCTATCAAAGGGAGGTGCTCCTGGGGTCTGGGTGGTTTAAACTGTTCATTTCTGGGTTATGGCTGGAAGCTGTGGTATTCATATCTGCTTCCTCAAGCCTGTTTCCTTTCACAGAAGAAGCAGACTCCCCTGGCAGTTGGAAGAACTCTCATCTTAGGCCAGGGATGCTCATGGGAACTCTGCCCCGTGACAGCCATTTCCTTAGTACCACATTATGAATCTCACATCCATAAGTGTCACTCACTCTTTCTGAACTCTTCTCTTGTTCTGGCTCATTCTATGTTTTGAGGCAAGTAATTCAACACTGGCTCTGCTGGCTATATGAAATCGTGCTTACTGTGTCTAAGTGTGTTTCTTTGAAATTATGTAGGACATCCTTCTGTTCTCATATTTGATCAAAAAATTATTTGTGTTTTCCACTGGGCTCCTTTGAAAGCTATTAATTATAACTCTTCTGAGAATGCTTTTACAGATGGTAGGTCCCAGAGATTGTGATAGCGAAAGTCTTCATTTTTTTTGAAAGAATTCCCTCTAACACTGAAGACTGTGTTGCTTACTGACAGCTTAAACCACTAGAAGATCTTACTTGGTCACATCTCTGTCCATCAGTGGCCTGCCATTTCCACTGCGCAGCCTTATTTGGGAGCTCTTATTCATTTCTTACAGAATAAAGGCTGTGTGACAGTAGCTCTAAGCATTTCTTGACCTTTCTGTCTTAAACATCTCTCTTTGAAGCAATTACTGGGATGTCATATTTTCAGGGCCTGCTGTTATCGTAGTTACTTGTTGCTGGATATTTTCTTGTTTGTCCATGTCCAACTTAAATACAGCTGCCAGGATTGGTTAATGTGGACCTCAGGGTTCTGTCACTTTTTTTTTTTTTTTTTACTGGGATAAGTACATTTATTCCACTGGTCCCAGCTCAGAAGTAAGATCTTAAAACAAACAAACAAACAAACAAACAAACAAACAAAAACAAAAGGTGCAAAGGTAAAAAAAATTCATTCTCTGACACCACTTGGCTTACTCATATTATTGCATTCATATGGGGTAAATTTATCTCTCTTTTTCTAGGACATACTTATGAATTGGGGGAATAAATAAAAATTTATATATACATAGTGTATGTCTTAAGATAATGGACCTTCGTAGAGTTTATTTATGCATGTCACATGGGTTAAGACTTCAAAGCGATATACAGTGATTCTGATTTATTCTGTTCTTTAATTTACAGAAAGACAAGTTTCGTATCTATGATGAATATTGCAGCAACCACGAAAAGGCACAAAAATTGCTTCTTGAACTGAACAAAATAAGAACAATCCGGACGTTTCTTTTGGTAAGTGCATCCTCACCTGATACCGTATGCTGGCGTTGGTTAAGGACACTAGCTGTAAGAAGGCATGTGACAAGCTTTCCTGAGTTTAAAGCTAGTCCATGGGCGATGTAAGCATGCAGATCTGGGAGGAGCTCCTGTGTCGCAAACACTGCTAATGCCCTCTCCTGGTTGACCAGGAATTGCATGTGCAATCTCATAGGTTCCTAGTCAGCCAAGAGCTTAGGTCAGAGTTCACCTTTGCCTTACATTCTCAGCTCCCTGGGGCCCTGAGGATCTGTTTACACCTCAGAGGATCAGAAGTGGGCTGTCACAGGAAGGAAGCAGGAGGAAAGCCCCGTTGCTGTCCTGCACACATACATACCTTACTCAGTTTTTATAAAAGCATCAGGGTTCAGGGTCGACTTTCTTTCAGGTAGCCTGCATAAAGGCATGTCTTGACAGCTGTGAGGTGTCGTTCCGAGCACCTGATTGAGTGAGAGGAGTTGTTAGGCCATCTGCCCAAAGTCCAGCTTTAGAGCATTGCCATGCTCTTCAGCAGCCCCTCTTGTCTCTTGATAGCCCATTTCCCTTCCCATCATTGGCTCCAGGACACCCACATTTGCTTTCTATGTGGTCTTTTCCAGAAAAAAAAAAAATAAATTTTTTTCTCTCATAGTTCAGTCTAGCCTCAAATTTGTAACACCCCATCTGCCTCTTAACGGTTGAGATCAGCGATAAGATTTCAAATTCTTGTACATTTTATACAGATAGAAACATACAGGGCAGACTGGTGGGCCCGGCTTCTGTCATTTTTAGTAGTTTTTCTGATATCCAGCTTTGTCATGTATTTATTTTGTATTCATTATCACTGAATCATATTCCCTTGTGTAGATTTGCCATATCCTGTTCATCTGTTTTGTCTTTTAAAGAACATCAGGTGTGACAAATTTATAATTTTCCATAAATTATGGCGTTCTGAGCACTCATGCATAAGCCTGTCTGGGGGCACACATTTTCGCCCTCTTGAGTAGAAACTGAGAGTGAAATTGGTGGTCGTATGGGAAGTTTAACTAAGAAACTCGAGGTCTGTTTTCCATGATGGCCGAGCCATCTCCAGAACCCTGAGCTGAGATTCTGGGTTTCTGCCCCTTACCAACACTTGGTGTGATTAGTCTTATGATTATAGCCAAGCTTAGTGGGTGTGTAGTATTTCAGCGCAGTCTGAATTTGAAACTAAGCATCCTTTTCTGTGCTCACTACCCATGCCTATGACTTTTTGGTAATGTATTTTATTCAAATCTTTTGTGTATTTTTAAATTGGAGTGTTTACCTTATGGAGACTTACAAGAGTTCTTAGTTTGGGGAGCAATTTCTGTATCAAATACATTAATTTCCACTATTTTTTTCCCACCCGTGTTTTTCAATTTTTTAAAAAATTGGAAAATCAAAAGTTTTAAAATCTGATGAAATAATTTATTAATATTTTTCATTATGGCCATGCTTTTCTTGTCATATTTAAGAAATCTCTACTTAGGTATTATTATTTTGTTGGCACTGGTTGTTTTTGGAGTTATCTTAGTATTATGTGGGATTATTCATGCTTTGGGTCTAGCAGTGTTTTTCAGAGTCTTAGGGTATTCTGTTGCCAGCATCTTGCTACCTGACTTAGCGCAGTTTTATTTTTCTGTTTCTTTTCCTTCCTGCATTATCTAGATTAGAACCTTCTGGAGATTGCTGACTAGAAGCACTATGAGCAGGCACCATTGCCTTATTGTGGGTGTTAGGGGAAAATGTTTGTAGCTGTAGATTGTCCACAGGAGTGGTCTTTCTGGAGTATTTATTACATTTGTAGTTTTGAGAGTTTTCATTATAGCCCACCCTCCCTTTGTTCCTCCCTCCCTCCCCCCCCCCCCAGACTTCTGCCCTTCATTCCTTTCTTTTTTTTTTCTGTTTGTCTTTCTCAACACTGTCATTGTCCTCCTGCCTCTATGCATGCTGGCGAAGGACTTTGTCACTAAACAACATCCCCATGTTTCACTGAACTAGATCCTTAGTTCTTCTCTTTTAAATGTTGAACGCTGTGACTCATCATTCATACATATTCATAGGTATAGTGTATGTGTACTATATGTATTCATAATTGTATATATAGTATATATACTATAATATATAGTATGTGTGATTATTGTTTATATAAAATAAAATAAAACAAAGTTGTGTACTATTCATATTATTCATTTATCCCTTTAAAAAGGGAGTATTGAGTCCAAACGTAGTTTTTATAGCCTTCAATTTTGTTCACTTTTACTTTTATGTTTTTGTTATATATGTATGTATTCCTCATTGCTATGTTCATGTTTCTATATTTATCATTATAAATATCACTTTTGCCTTTCAAATGGTATCTTGTCAAAGTCTATTTTAATTATAAAGACTCTTCAGTCTTACCATTATGATAGATCTCTTGGTGTTTAAAATTCACTCGATCTCTTATTTAGTGACTATTTATGACGTTCTAAGTGTTCTGGTAGCCAGCGCATGGCCAGAACTTCCTATCCTAGGCACACTCATTTTCTGTGTTTTATATTTGCTACAGACTACCACACTGACTCCTCTTCATTCTTGTAGATCTGGCTCTGACTGTGATAGCCTTTCTCGTGAAGACTAACACTAATCATTCCTATACGTCATTTCTACTAGTTTATCTGGGAATACCTTTGCCTTCATTTTTGAGGGATAGTTCATTTGATAGAACTCTTGATTGTATGTCTTTCCTTTTCCTTACTTTGACTTGGACTCCACCGATTCAACTGCTTCTGATGAGAGCTAACCTGTTCTTTTTTATTGCTTATATTGTTTACAAACTACTTCAGTTTCTTCTTGCCACTCTTAATACTTTGTCTTTCCATAGTTCAGTTCAACTACACCGTGATTAGATGATGATAATAGCCTTGTTTTTCTTATTTGGAGATAAGCCTTTTATCTTTTTAATAAATTTTGACATACTTGCTCATGGCCCAAGTAGAATGTGACTATGATCCTCGCTACATTGAGGAAGCGATAAAAGGAAGGTCTTTTGTGCCCAGGAGTTGAAGACTAGTCTGGGCAACATGACAAGACTCCAAGGCTTCATCTTAAAATAAAACATAAATTGTGAAGTTTGTAAGCATTATTAAAAACATTTACTATAAATTAGGTTGTGGTACACACGCCTTCAATCCTAGCACCTTGGAAGCAGAGGCAGGCCTGGCCAGCCTGGTCTACAGAGTTTTAGGACAGCCAGTGCTACACAGTAATATCCCTGTTCCTAAAAACCAAAAGAAAGTAATTATCGTATACTTCTTCTTTTCCTTAATTAACCTTTGTGCATACATTAAAATGAAAATAATAATTATTAGTATTTTATTATTTGCAAGCATGGGTGTTTTGTCTGCACATATGTTTGAGCAACATGTATGTTTGGAAGCCAGAAGAAGGTGTCAGCTCTCCTGGTACTGAGTTACAGATGATTGTTAGGCACCATGCAGATGTTGGGGATCTAAGCTGGGTCCTCTGGAAGAGGACCTGTGCCCTTAAGCCATGCTCTGCTGAGCCATTTTCTTGGCTCCTTGTAGTTGTTTTTCTCTAGACTTTTTTATTCTCTGTTCTTTGTATTGGATGATTTATATTTGCTTACTTGTAACTCAATGAAGTATTTGTTCATCCTATGTTGGTTTGATTTGGCTTCACTGTTTTTCTTTATTGAGGGTTCCCATTTCTCTGTTCACCATCAGTGTCCTTCAGTTACTTAAGTGGTGCTTAGATTTCTTTGAATATGATTGTAGTAGTATTTTGAAGTCTTTGTTAACTGCAATGTGTAGATACACTGAGGAATTTTTACTAACTATGATTAAGGCAAGTTTTCCTGTTCCTCTGTGTGTTTCATAATTTTAAAATTAGAAGACAACTTGACATTTTAAATAACTTAACAGCAACTTTGGCATCTGTTTCCTCCCTGAGATTGGCTTTTTGTTTTTTCTCTTTTTGCTGTGTTCTGTTCATAGAAACCTGCCTAGCCTCAGTCTGAGTTCCTGTTTCTGTAGTGTACATACTCTGCTCAGTTTATCTTTATTTACCCTTGCTTTCTGAGCAATCTTCTGTGAGTGCTCAGCTCATCAGGGCTACTCTCTCGTGAACATAGATCTCAGCATGAGTATAGGTTGGCCACAGTTGAAGGCCAGGTGATTTGTAAAGTGATTCAGACTTCTCCCCAGAATACCCACTCAGGCCTTACTGGAACGACCCATCTTTTTTTTTTTTTTTTTTTACCAGCCAAAGAAAAATGCATTCTTCCTATGCCATCTATATGTTTTTAGGTTATCTATGTAAAGTTATTGGCTAGGATGCTGGTCTCCAGTAGAACTATAGTCTCAGGCTAGCATTGTGGGCATTTCCTGTTTTGCTTATGGAATGTGCTAGCATTTTGGTGTGGGATTTTTGCTCTCTGCAGCTCCCTCTGTAGAGCATCAGAACTCTTTGGCCTTCTTTCATGCATCCTGTCTTTAGCAGCGGTCACTTTGGATGCTGCCTGGTTTAGTTTGCCTAAGTGACTTATGGGAAGTCCCACTGGGAAAGTCACAGGTCAAGAATGTGGGATCAGGTGACTCACAGCAGACTCCAGCAAATCTGTCTTGATAATCCCTACTCTGGAACTAATGGGACATAGGTTATCAGATGACATTAGCATATCCATCATATTTCTGGTGTTAGTTTCCTTATTCATAAAGTGAGGGATAGTAACAGTCATCCTTTGGAATTCATCTGTCAGTCTCCGGGCTTGGAGTGATGATGGTATTTTCTAGGGAAGTTTCCGATGTCAGTGAATCCTCTGTAACTTATTTCAGTAGACGTATGTGTGTGTGTTTTATGACTGTGGCATAGATAGGACTGTACGTGCCCACACCAATCATTAATTCAGACAATGTTCTGAAAATGTGTCCACTGGTTCCCTGTTCCCAGGTGACTCTAACTGTGTCACGGTGACAAAACCCAACCAGTACAAGTACTTACTGTGCAAGCATGAAGACAATCTGATGCTCTGATTCCTGGGACTGACTCATGTAAATGCTGAGTGAGTGTCCACCTAGAACCCAGCCTTAGAAGGTAGAGAGAGATATGATTCCCCAGAGAAAACCGCCTGGGATGACTCGGCATTTTGGTGAGCTCTGTCTCATTGAATAAGGTGAAAGAGCAAGAATGATTTCTGACATCATCTTTGGCTCTCTCACAGGCACGTGTCACATGTGCATGCACCATTGAGCATGCTTACTACACATGAAGGTGTCCACAACATGCAAGCATGCATACACATAACTGCCCCCCCAACGCTCGCTGAAAGAAAATGTCATAACCACCTAGGACTTCTGAGGCCCCCTCATGCCAGAGCTGTGAAAGAGTGTCACCACATTTCTACAGCCGCTAACACATGCTAGAACAGGAAACTCTGAAGCACTCGTGGAATTTTATAAGATGAGAGTGACTGTGTCCCAGAATTTCTCCCAGGGAAAATGGCCATACAGACTTTGAAGACTCTTGGCTGCTATGTTTTCTGTGATGTCTAGGTGAAGTGATCATCCTTAACTAGGTACACATATTGAGACTGAGGCTTTGCTGCCCCATTCAGGGGAGGACTCGGTTCCAATGTTGTGCTTTTTGTTTACTTGTTTGTTTGTTTATTCAATTTTATTTTATGTGCAATAGTGTAAAGGTGTCAGATCCCTTGAAACTGGGGTTACTGACGGTTGTGAGCTGCCATGTGGATGCTGGGAATTGAACCCCAGCCCTTTGGAAGAACAGTCAGTGCTCTTAACCACTGAGCCATCTCTCCAGCCCCCAAGTGTTGTGCTTTTTGAATGTTTTTCTTTCAGTGCTTGGCGCCTCCTCAGAATTCATATGGAGCGTTGTTATACAATAGTGACAGGGAATGTGCTGACCCCTTGGCATAGCCGTCTGAAGCTCTTCTTCCTGCCTGACAGATCACATCCGCTTCTGTGTGTCCACTGTGGCAGGCAGTGCGGAAACGAGACCCGCACAGGTCTTCCTCTCTGTAGTTTGGTTCAGAGGACTGAAGGCCATTTTCAAGTGGCTTTTCTCTTCACCTCCACTTTGTGGCGAGCTAAAGCTACTTCGTGCCCACCTTGCAGTGACTGCTGGTGTGCGGGCATTTCTCCATTCTCCTTGCTGGAGTGGAGATCCTCCCTGAGGTTGCTTGCCACAGTGCCATTCCTTAAGTGTGATCACCTGACAGCAGCAGAAGAGTTCCATTTTGGAAGAGAGGATGATTCTGAAATGAGCTCAGCATGTGCCAGTTGTGACTTGCACAGAAGAACTCAGTGTCTTTATGCCTGCTTTCCTACAGCATGATGCGCTTTTAAAAAGTAGTTTATTTATTTATTTATTTTTACTTCTGTGGTTGTATGTGTGTCTGTATGTATGTGCTTGTCTGTGTGTGTTCAGTGTGTGTGCAGGTGCCTATGGAGGCTGGAAGAGAGCATCACGTACCTTGGGACTCTAGTTACAGGCAGTTGTGAGCCGCCCGGTCTGTGTACTGGCAGCTGAACTTGGCTCCATGGCAAAAATAGCAAGTGTTCTTAGCTCTCCCAAGTGCTGACCTCTCTCTCCAAGCACATTGATGTACTTCCCATAAACAAAATACATCTGTTTTCCCCGTTTCTCCATTCTCACTCTGTCTCTGTCTCCTCTCCCCCTCTCCCTTCCTCCATGTAAGCCTCTCCCCTTCATGATCAGAAGAATAGATGTGATTTAAATTCTAAGTTATAGGTTCATTTGGGTTTTGTAATAAATATGAATGACTGGGTCTTGAGACATGGTATATAAGGATTTGTTTTCACAACTTTTCAGCATAAGATGTTACGGGAAGAATAGTTCACAACCTCAGGTTTGCAAGGCATACTTATGTTGCTTTTCACCACAGAACTGCATGCTGCTTGGAGGACGGAAGAACACAGACGTTCCCCTGGAAGGATACTTAGTGACTCCTATCCAGAGAATATGCAAGTACCCTCTTCTTTTGAAGGTATTTTATGTGCAGTGTTTGGTTATTGCCTTAATAGTTTGCTGATTTTTTAAAATGTATTTTAAAGGAACCAATATTGAAAAAGGATAGACCATAATTGCTGGAAAAATAGCTGTTTTGTTGCAAATTACTGTATAGATTAGGAAACAGACCTTTCATAGAAAGGGCATTAAAGGAGGCTTTTAGTACTCTCCAAAGCACACACACTTGTTTGAGTTTCATTTAGAGTGAAAAGCAATGCCCTCAGAAGAGACCCCATTAAGTCCATTATGACTAGTTTGTATAGCACTTTAGCTACAGAGAACTTTAAGTCATTCCACTGCTGGTCTATTTTTTTGTTTCTGCATCCTTTGGTGACTTGATACTAATGAAGTTAAGGTTAAAATTACATAATTTCAAAGCTTAGTGAGCTGGTTAGTGTTTTCATCAACTTGACACAAGCTAGGGCATCTGGGAGAAGGAACCATCTCCATCAGTTTCTTTTGTGGGCAAGTCTGGAGGACATTTTCTTGATTCACAATTGATGTGGGAGAGCCCCACCAACTGTGGGTGGTGCCACCCTGGGCAGATGGTTCTGAGTTGTGTAAAAAAAGCAAAGTGAGAAATCCATGGGAACACGCTGGCCGGTATGCAGCGCTCCTCCATTACCTCTGCTTCAGTTCTTGCTTCCAGCTTTCTGCCCTGACTTGCCCTCGTGATGGACAGTAAGCTGAAACAAGCCCTCCCTTCTCCAAGTTGCTTTGGGTCATGGTGATGGTCAAAACAATAGGAATCCAAGTAATACATTTGCCTTTTAAATAATTATTGTAAAGGTGGTGTGGACCACATGGGACAAGAAATGGTAGGATACAGAGTAAAAAGCACCCCTGTTACAGAGAATGAACACCACACTGACAGTTATTGTAGGTATGAAAGTAACAGGATTTTTATTTTATTATGATAAAACAGAAGTAGCAAGCTTTAAATTATAGCTTGCCCTGTCTGTGGTGCCAGAAGCTGGAGATGCCTTTTTGAGGGGTTATGTCATGACATATCTCATATTCTTGTACTACCCGATGGATTGATGAAGTTTTTCTTTTAGAGCCTTGTCCCTTGAACATTCTCTTAACTAGGATGAGTGTAGTTCCTTGTCCCAAATGACATATCTGACAAAGGGCTTTAGAGCTTCTACTGTAGGACAATGACAGTCACTGACTAGGAGTTATCCTGATCCTTGGTGATTTCTGGTTTTAACATCTAAAGTGGTTTCTTGCCAGAGTTGTTGGCTCTTTCACGAAGCAGCAGAATTCCTCCCAGAGGATGGGCCATTCCTTGTGGTCCAGGGCTGCTCTCTGGGCCTCAGAGGTCATCCTGTTTCTCTTGCCACTAGAGCATCTCCTAAATCATGACTAGGATAGTGGGTTGTAGACACTTGAGTGATCAAAAGGATTGCATTCAGGAGCCTAAGAATTTCTTGAGAATTACTTTATAGGGGTCTCAGCTGTAGTTAGGAAGAGGCCTCTTTCTTTCCATGTGGTTATATGGGCATGGGGGGGGGGGGGCCATATTTGGTTTTGGTGTAAATAAAAATTAAATTTTTTTTTTTTTTTTGGACAGTTCCAGGTAGAAATGGGTATTTTGGTTGGGCTGTTGGGGGTAGAGGGTGGGGGGGGGGGGATATTGGTCCTGATCCAGGTACTTTAATGCAAGTGATTATTTCATATCCTGCATGCCAAATTCTTTCTTTCACAAAGAAACTTCCATCTATATAGAGGTTAAAGTCAGGGTTTTCCAGGGCTTGGTAGGAGAGACCGGGATCAGCTACACAGTTTTCCAGGGACCTCCTGATAGCACTAAAGAGGCGCCCCTTCTTTTTCTGGAAAATAGATGGCTAGGTTTAGATGTGGGCGGGTATTGAGAGTAATTTCAATATTACTCTTAATATTATGAAGGAGTGATATATATTATATACATATTACATTATGATTCCTAACAGTAGCACAATTACAGTTATAAGGTAGTGATGGAAATAGTTTTATGGTTGGGGGTCACCACAACATGGGGAATTCTGTTAAAGGTCATAGTGTTAGGGAGGTTGAGAACCACTGAATTAGAGGATTCTCTTATAATTTAGAATGACCCCGTGTAATGAAGCTTGTGAATCTGAAGGGGTGCCTAAGGGTTGTCTTTTCTGCTTCAGGAATCAGGAATCTGGAAGTAGCAACTGCTCACAGACATCCTGACCAGCCCTTGGCTGTCTGATCTAATTCCTTAGCTCTCTATATGACTTGAGGAAACGGACAATGTACTGGTGAAATACCCCAGAGCTGTTCTCTGTCTCTCAGCTATCTACAGGTGAAACTTAGGCTTATGAGGCAACCCTAAGGCAGGCGTGTTGGTTAATATCTTTCTAAAGTTCTGGAAGGCTTGCTAGGACTCAGGAATCCATTTAGCTCTGTTGAATTCTTAAGACTGAGTATCCTTGAGGGCCCGATTTAGAATCTAAATTTTACAGTATCCCATGGCTCCCAGAAAGGCCTTCATCTGTATGAGGGTTTGGAGGAGAAGGCTTGGGAGAGCCAGGAAAGTCAAGATGGGTCACACTCATTCTGGTCCTAAAGCTGTGGTCCCCTTTGGCAAGATGAGGCCCAAATAGGAAACTTGGGTTTTGTATACCTGGGTCTTTTCCAAAGAGAGCCTGTAGCCTCTGTCACCTTGGAGATTAAGAGGCGGGGGTCTTCTCTCTGGATATGGGTTTTTGTTTGGTTAACCCACATAGAAGAACACCTATATTTTGAATCTAGAAGATCTTCAGATGAATTCATCCAATCAAGGCTTGGAGAAGAGCTAAGCCAAATAAGGCAGACTGCCTCAAGACTCCTGCAATAGGCTAGAACAAGTACTCTGTCTTGCTCTGCCTGTGAGATCTTCAAAAGCAAATAGAAACTGATTATGGGGTGGAGTGAGATATTTAAGAAACTGTGTTTAAGATCTAGCACTGAACAGGTGGTGATAATAGCAGTGCACACCTTTAATCCCAACCCCCAGGAGGCAGAGCCATGCAGATCTCTGAAACTGAGGCCAGCCTGGTCTACTACATAGGAAGTTCCAGGATAGCCAGGTCTACACAGAGAAACCTTGTCTTGAAAACAAACATAAACAAACAAACAAGATCTAGCCCTGATCCATGAGTCTTCTTAGGAGAATGTGGGTGAGAGTGTGAGAATTAGGAACTACTGGACTGAGTGGAGCCACTCATTGAGCATACCTTGGACTGACTTCCATTTGTTAGGGCCTTTGCTAACACCAAGGATGAGATGATCTTTGTACTAGAACTCTCAACCAACCATCGTTATTTCAGTAGCCCTTAAATTATGGAGATAAGACCCCCACCCCTTGACTTCAGGCTTTTGGAGACATTGCTTCTGATCTAGAAAATAGGCAGGGTCTTTAAGATCCATGCCCACAAAAATGGCCATCTGTCCACACTAAAGCCTTGACCTTTTCAGTGAGATAAGCAATAGTGTTCTGAGCTGGAGGGAGAAACAGTTTAACCTTGAGTCTGGACCAAAGGTTTCCTCCCAACAGAGGAGGCTGGGTTTGAGGAACTATAGAAAAGAGACGACAAAAGTAGAGGTCTCCTCCTGCATATGCAAGCAGTTGAGTGAAATATCACTCAAGGGGCTGCTCTAATGTACCCTGAATTGCTGCAAACCTCCAGGATGAGGGGAAAGGGACAACGCTAAAAATCACACTACTGAGTCAGTCAGGAATCTAATCTTAGGCTCCTTACTGTCAGAAATTCCTGAAGCTCCTCAAGAGTTTTGAGCCAGTATAGGAAGCCCCCACCCCCACTCACCACATCTGTCATTGTGGAGAAGGACATGAAGTGAACCCAAACTAGGATGGAAGACAGTGATGTTGGCAGTGATTTCCCTTACAGATGGGACAGGGTTCAGGAGGACTCTGAGGGCAACAGGAAGTGACTTTCTTCCCCACGAAGGAAGCAAGCCCTAGGCTTAGACTTGAATGGGAGGGGGAGGAACAATTTATCTGGTTGGCTGTCATAGTGACAGCTAACTGTCCAAGATTCTCTTTCCCTTCATGCTTCATGGTTCTGTCATATAAAGACTGAATTTGTGACCTGGAAAAAAACAAACAAAAAAAGCCTGCTGGTGTTTTGTCTTGGGCGGCTGCTAGTGTCTGGAGCTTTTTTATGAATGTCTGAAGCTGGCTGAGTTAAGCGTGTGGTTTTTAGGATTACTTCCTCCAGTGATTCAGGGTAAGTTGGTATATTTTCCCAGTGGAAGCCTTCTTGAGGTACATAAGAGGGACTAATAGTTTTGACCTTAGCCTTCTTAAGACCCTCTATTACACTGTAATGCAAATGACCTCTCCATTCTTCACGTGGGTCATTTGGCTTTCCGAGGGGTTTTGAGAGGAACTAGCTTTATCCTTCATAGGGACACCCTTGTCCACTTTAGTCCCATGGGCAGTGACGATGTCATTTCTGCTTCAAGAGCCTGATCTAATGCTCTCCTCTTTTCCAAAAGGGTTATTGTTTGTTTTAAAAATGTCATCACATCTCTCCAGCATAATTCACATATCTGCTTTAATTGCTGAAAAGATTAATCACACTGGTCTGGATCCTCCATAGAACTCAGTTCTTGCTTCATGTCATTTAATTTTCCAGGGCTAAAGGAGGCATGGGCAAACATAAGTCCTTTTGTCTCCCTTGATTGTTACCTAAGAGAAAACATTCTCTTTTGGGTGTTGGGAAAATGCATGGATACTTATTTTGTTTCTCCTTGGGGTAAGGGTGGCAAGGATATGCAGGTTATTGGGGGCTCTGGCCTCCCAGAAATCAGGATAGATCCTTGGGGGATTTTTACTTACTAGTAGTGCTTTCTTGGATGAAGAGTTTTCTTCTGATTTTTCTGCCTATTCTATATCTTCTCTCCCTAGGCTAGAGATTTAACCATTGTCCACTGTTGTGGTGTGCCCCTTAATGTGAGAGCCATCAGGAAGTATGACAGAGACCCAAGAAGGCTACTGGTGGGTCAGTATAAGCCCCAGTTAAGCTGGCCCCAGACAGGGTCTTTGTAGAATGCTTTATGCCCTATGAGTTAGTCTGCAGATCAGGTTCCTCAAATCTAATTCTCAGATTTTAACTTACCTTCCCCCTTCTATTATTTCAAGTATACAGTAGTAAGAGGAGCTGGCTGGCCTCTAGTCACAACTCTCTAGAAGGGTGACAGTTAGTGTTCAGGTTACTTAACAGCCCAATAGTTTTTTAACTGTTTTGTTAAGGGCTCCCTTTATTCTGATCTTCTAAGGAGAGCCTGCTGGTAAGTAGTCAGATTAGATAAGACCCTCACAAGATCCTACCCAGTCAGAGAAGACTAGATAAGACCAGGACACAATCCTACCCAGTCAGAGACAGCTAGATAAGATGCCAACAAGATTCTCAGGGTTAGAGAAGACCAGATAAGACCCTATCAAGACCCTACCCGGATAGAGAAGACTAGATAAGACTCTAACAAGACCCTACAAGGAGAGAGAAGACTGTGATTGTCAGAGTAAAGGTAAAAAAATGCAGTCTCATCAGAGGTTCAAAAAGTCTCTTTGGAGCTAGCTTCCTGTAACTAACTATGAGATCTTCATCCTCAGACCAAAGAGCCGTTGCCATCTTGTGACGCTTTCAGCCAGAGCTACCTGAGAGAATTCTCTTGCTCTTTGAAACAAAGGAATTAGAGCTAAATTTGGAAGTGGACTGTCCCTATCAAAGGAATGGGAAAAAGAAAAGTACCAGCCTATGTTTTCCACCATAAATTAAAAGTAGCAGTGGTGATGTTCCTGTTCCAGAATGGGGAAGGGGTGCCAGCAAACTCAGTGTTTACACCAAACTTTCATGGTTTGGCTCAGTCTTCCAAATATTTTATTGTCCAGGCAAGGAGAATCTCACACGCAGTAGCCACCAAACTCTGTTAAAAGTGAAGAAGCACATGCATAGAAAACTCCACATAAGTGCTGAGGGGAGTCAGAAACCAGACCCTCAGGGGTCCCTTCTTTTATTTTGGGATGGTCAACTTAAACATAGAAGAGCGGCTGCTAGGCCCACAGCTTCCTGTGAACTAGGCCCATGGCTTCCTGTGAACTGAGACATGTGTTGGGAACGTCTGGGTATGTATGGAGCTGCTAGTGTGTGTGTGTGTGTGTGTGTGTGTGTGTTGGGATGGGGGAGGGGCAGCACACCAAACCTTTGTTCTGAGTGGAGAAGCCAGAAGTTTACCATCTGGTTGCTTACCTATAGCCTCTTTTCCTACTGTCTGCCTGTCAGCTTGTTTATCTGCCCTCAGGGTATCTTTCCTTAACGGCTCTCTAGCTTAGTTTTTTTTCTTTTTTTGAACCGAGGTCTCTCACTGAGCCTAAAGCTTACCAACCTGGCTAGGCTGGATGACCAGTGAATTTCAGGGATCCTCTAGTCTCTGATCTCACCCTCAACAGTGGGGTTGTGGGTGCAGAACACCACATCCAGCTTTTGAGGCAGATTAGGGATCTGAGCTCCGGTCCTCATGTTTATGCCTAGGTGCTTTATGGACCTCTGCAGCCTATAAAAAACCTTTTATTTATTTATTGTTTTTAAAGAATGATTTCTTACTACAAGTCAGGCTGAAGGTGCTTGGTTAAGCTCTGAAAACCCCGATGGTGAAGCAAAGCCAGGGACCTCCAGCTGCAGTTTTGGCACGGCCTTTAACATGCAGTGTCAATACTAGCATGGCTCTGTATGTTCTGACCATCTGAGAGTCCTCACAGGTCTCCAGCCAAGGGACTCAGCGTATGTATACACTCGTAGGTGCCCTTATCCCCGATCCCTGTTGGAATTCCAGATATTCAGTTTATTCTAAGGGCCAGAAGGGAATGCTAAGACTGTTGTAAATAAGTGGTTTCATTAAATCACTCATTGCTGATTAGGGATGACCTCTCCTCAAGTATTTGAATTTAATTTTTAATAATAAAAAAATAGCATCATTGATAAATGCTTGTCCCAACTGAAAGAGAAGAGTGTGAGACAGAGGTGACCTCCTTTCCTTTTAGATTATTTTCCTATAGAAAAATGAAATTTTCATGTAGTAAAAGGAAAAAGACCATTTACTTATGTATACAGATAGGCTGCTGAAAAGTTCTGCTTGGATTCTCTTTGAGTGATTTTCTTTATTCAGAGAAAGGTATTAAAAGCACTAGCTTGTGATGTGAATAACTTTCAAAATCTGACAGCAAGTAACCACTGAAACCATTATTTGATTGTCTTTTTTTTTTTTCCCACATTACCTAATTTGTGTCTCAATCTCTCAGATTAGTGTTGGGTACCATTGCAAGGGCCCACATCTTATCCTGAAGGTTGATATCCTCATTTCACATAATTTAATAGGGCCTTACTTCTGAGAAATTACTTCTGAGGTTGCATGTCTGTCTTACAAATTTGGGGGCCAGAATAAAACTCTTAACCATCTTGGGAATAATAGAATGTGTATTCCTCTGGTGTTAGATCACATAAAACACAAGGTCAAAGTTTATTTCAGAATATTCAACACTAAAACAACTAAGGACTGCTTGCTTTTCTACTGCATGTTGAGAAATTAAAAAAAAAAATTCTTTCTGGAATTATGCCCTCGGGTTTCTGTAGTTTTGTTAGTGCCTTGTTGATGACAACTGCCGTAAAGAAACAAATGACTAATTAAAAAGCAGTGTTGTCACAACTGTCTAGACAGTGGGTGAAGATGTTTAATTTTGTGCTTCTAAACAGTGGCTAAGCAGACATTTTAATATAGTTACAAGATTACAGATTATTCTGCTTCTGATATTTGGAATTAAAAGAAAACACGTAAGTAAAACTTTCTTCCACAAAGCACAAACTAAGAATTAATGGAGAGAGCTGCTGGGTGTGTGAAAGCTGGCTTCCCACAGAGATGAACCAGAGTGACTGATGAAGGTAACATGTACTGTTCCTCCAGTGATGGAATGTTGTGACATTGATAAAATAATTCTTTTGCTAGAATATAAAATATAAACAAATGTTGCTTTACTTGTGGCATATCTTTATAGTTTCTCAAAAGGTGTTCAAAATAGGAATTTAATTCAGCTTTGAAACTGTGGTGCATATTTATTTGAAGGTTTGTTAAAGTATCTAGGAAAAAGGAAATTAACAAATACTAATTTTCTCCTGTTAGAACAAAAGTCAGATTTATAAAAACTATGACATGATCCAAGTGAGACAGTTGATGACTTGAAAGAAACGTCAGTCTGTTTCTAAACTATAGGTAAGTTTGAGGGAAAATTACAGTTGGCTGCAAAAAATGAGCATTAAAATAATGCTTACTCATTGATTTGACCTTTTGCTTCTGATCTCTATCTTAGTGGAGTGTGTGATGTCACTTAGCAGGGCGGCTGTCACAATCTTTGTAGTTTTCATTTCCTGGTCAGTCTGAACCTGCTGTACCACAGAATTGGAGATCAAAGTGTGGTTTGTTTTTTTGTGAATAAACAGGAATTACTGAAGAGGACCCCACGGAAACACAGTGACTACGCAGCAGTGATGGAAGCCCTCCAGGCCATGAAGGCGGTTTGTTCCAACATTAATGAGGCTAAGAGACAGATGGAGAAACTGGAAGTTTTAGAAGAGTGGCAGTCACACATCGAAGGCTGGGAGGTACGTGCGCGCCCATCACTCAGCTCGTCGTCTTCACGTAGTTGTGGGGTCACATGCAGGGCTTCTGCTGCATGCAGGGAACCCAAGTGGTTATCTTCCAGCTGCGCATGGGCCATAGTGTCCGCTTTGAAAGGGCTTTTCGCGTTACTTTAACACGTGTGTAAGACGGAAGTCGTCTTGACCCCAGAAACCTGATGGAAGCAAATAGAGCGTGTGCCCTCAGGCTTCCACATTTCAGAATTTGGGGTGCTATAGTTCCCTTTCTCATGTCCCGGTTTTGATCAACAAATAAATACCCTAAATGTTTGGAGTAATAAAGGATTGCGTGTGCCCCGATGTCATCTTTCTTTAGACTCTTAAATCGGGGACTCGATGTTGAGTGCCATTTTGAGTCTTCCTAATCACTCTGGGTTTTGATTTCTTCATTTCTAAACCGGAAGAAATCTCTATGATTTGGTGGTGTTCATCTAGAAAAAAATGAAGTGTTATGAGTTTTATGAGTCAATAAAGAAAGGGTTTTTTTTTTTTTTTAAATATATAAGATAAGAAAGCAGATGAAGATCCTGGATGAGAATCTGTCAGATGTTTCCAGCTATGATGACTGCTGATGTTGAGTCCCAGTTATTTTACAGGAATAAAATCCTGCACCCCTGCTACAAAAAAAATAAGCTAAAATTCTCATTTGAAATGACCATAACTTAAGTGAATATGAACTTGGGGCTAGCAAGCTTATTTTTTCATGTGATAAAGTAAGCAATTAATGTAATAAAAATACAAAAGTATAAACAGGAAGGGAAAATGTACAGCCAAGTTCAACTCCTGTAAATCCACAGAGATTACTTCTCTCCTTGGGGATTCGTCATTAACTAAGTTTTTTCTTTAATCTGTTGGTTTACATTAGACCTAAAATGCTATTCTGCCAGATATGCTGAAACAAACAAACAAACAAACAAACAAACAAACAGACAAACAACACAGTGCTGACCTGAAACAAGCCTACTTGGCCACCCCCTGCTATGAATCATTTAAAGTGCTAACTGGGGTCTACCTTAGCTTCCTGTGTGCCTATATTCTTCCATTTTGAGTATCCTGGGTGACCCTCCTACAGCAGGAAGGCAGCCTCCTTCAATCAGGGAGAATGGCTGTGTGTTTTACCGTTGATTCATGAAGATGACTGCTTTCCTGCAGGGCAGTCGTCCTCCTGGGATGAGAGAAGTGTTGTTGTGGCTTTGCTGTCAGTCAAATACTAGAAGGAAAACCAGACTCTCTTAAAAATTGCAGGATTTGTCTGTATAATCTTCCAGGCCCTTTACTACAGCAAGAACTTCGGAGACTTTTCAGTACAGTGGAAAACATAGTCATTTAGTTTCCTTCTAGCATGTAGCCTAAAAATTTGTGTTCACGACAGAGAAGAGGGTTTGCTTAAATGCAATGGCTGTTTGCATAGCCTCCATTGTGTTATTTCACAAGTAGCTCACAGCAGACAGTGTATCAGTTAAGCCAGTTGCTATAATTTAGATCTTGTATACAGTACAGTATTAAAACTGGAGCCTCAAAGCTGAAGAAGTTAGTGGAGCTATAGCAGTTCTGTCAAGGATGTGGGAATCCAGCAAGAGCTCAGCTGTGTCAGAGAAAGGGCAGTTAGCATGAATGGCTAGTTCCAAACAGCATGCAAATGCTGCCTGTTCTTGAGAAAGTTTTGATAATGAATAAATGAGATATGACCATAAAATTGAATTTGGGGGGTTGAAGTATGAAGCTTAGAGTGGGGTTTAGCCTTCTGCTTGATAGCTCTTGATTAGGTCAGTCAGTCAGCCAGGGTCTGTCTATCTATGTATCTATCTATGTATCTATGTGTCTGTCTATCATCTATCTATCTATCTATCTATCTATCTATCTATCTATCTATCTATCTATCTATCTATCATCATCCCCCTAGAGTGATGAGGGGAGCTATTAATTCTTTTGAAGGGGGTTAGGGGATGTTACTCTTCTAAAGAGAACTTTGTAGAAGCACAGAGTTGGACTCTGCCCTGAGAGATCAGAAATGGGTTGAAGAGGTACTTTCGAGTGTGTTTAGGAAAGTCCAAGTTCTAATGTCGGTGGCAGAGTGGTACTCACAGAAGGCAGAGTCCCCTGAGGAGTTTTTATAGTTAGAAACTCGGGGTGAATGCTATAAATGAGCTCCTTGTGAAGCTCCTGCAAGTCTCACAACCACCCCAGGGACGTGGCATTTTTCCTTCAGTCACTAATATGCCCTCAAATCACACCTAAGTCTTACAAGTGATGGATTTTTACTATGTCCAATTTTGATTAGAAATTCTTTTCATTCAGTTATCCATACTGTCATTATCTTATTATTTAAAGAAAGGTTTTGTTTGCTTGTTTCTTTGTTTGTTTTTCAACACAGGGTTTCTCTGTGCTGGAACTCACTCTGTAGACCAGGCTGTCTGCCTCTACCTCCCGAGTGCTAGGACTAAACGCATGTGTTCTGAAAAACACATGGTTTACCATGGTTCTGAAAAATATTTTGTTTTACAGTAAATTCTAACATATAGAGCCGTGCGTGGTGGCTCATGCCTGTCATTCCAGCACTCTGGGAGGCAAATCCAAGTGGATCTCTGTGAGTTTGAGGCCAGCCTGATCTACAAAGTGACCCCAGGAACAGCCAAGGCCACACAGAGAAACTCTGCCTCCAAAAAAACAAAACAAAACAAAACATGATTTCTCACAGATAGTTTGTCCACCTGGAACTTTGTACTACTAAGTGACCATTTACATTTGTATGTGGAATTTACATAAATAGTTGAAACTTATTTTCCCAAATCATATGAAACAGTGGGGGGGGAGAAGCATAGTTTTTTGAGGAGACTTGATGTTTAGTCTGGGCTCCTACAAGTCCGCCTATCCCTGGGAGGGGGACATTTAATACATCAGAGTTCATTTGTAGATAATGTGGGCGATTTCAAGGGTTCAATAAAGTGAGTGAGCATGCTCTGGATTTTGTGAAAGTTCTGCAAATACGACCCAGTATTTTGAAGCTTTGGTTCAGCAGTCGGATTTTATCCCTCAGAATTTCCTATTTGTATAGTATATGAACTCACCTGGTGACAGCTGCTATATTACTCTGTTAGGTACTTTTCTTAGTGCTTTGACAAAATACTTGGTGAAAGCAACTTAAGGAAGTAATGGCATCGTGGCATGGAAGGCACAATGGCAGGAGGCTAAGGAGACTAATCACATTGTGTCCTCCGTTAGAAAGCTGGGGCTCAGCCATGTTCCTCATTTTTTCTCCTTTTGTGTAGTTCAAGACCCCAGCCCATGGGATGCTGCTCTCACAGTCAAGGTGTCTCTTTGATGCTCAGTTAAACCTCTGGAAATGCCTCCACAGCCGATAGAGGTTTGATTGCAAATCCAGTCAAGTTGACAACACAGATTAAACATCACAATTGCTTAAAGTTGTATGAGTCCAAGCCACTGTGCTGGCTGGTTTTATGTTAATTCAACACAAGCTGTATTCATCTGACAGGAAGGAACCTCAGTTGAGAAAATGCCTCCAGAAAAATTCAGCTGCAGGCAAGCCTTAGGGTATTGTCTTAATTAGTGATTGATGGGAGAGGGCCCAGGCCATTGTGGGTGGAGCCATCCCATAGCTGGTGGTCCTGGATGGGCAGGCTGCTCAAGCCTGGAGAAGCAAACCAGTAAGCAACACCCCTACATGGTCTCTGCATCAGCTCCTGCCTCCGGGTTCCTGTCCTGTTTGAGTTCCTGTCTTTGACTTTTTTTTTTTTTTAAATGATAAACTGCCATGTGGAAGTGTAAGCTGAATAGACCTTTTTCTCCCCAACTTCCTTTGAGTCATGGTGTTTCATTACAGCAATAATAACTCTAACTATGGTAGACATGGACTTTTCAAATAAAAGTTAACTTTACAGAAGTTATATAGGTTAGATCACCAATAGAAAACCTACAGTATCAGACTGGAAAATGATTTTGGAGCAACTGAGCTTTCTGAGAATCTAATCAAGCCTAGCTAAAGTGAGTAGGCTCTGATGATTTTCTTCAGACCCTGTAGCACTCCATCCAAAACTCAATATAGACATCTAAGACAGTAGTAATCTTATCTGGGCTAATTTGATTAGGGAAAAGTAGAAATCCTTGGCTGATGATCTTCAGCTTTTGGGAACTACTGACTAGCTAATGGAGGCAATGGACGGGTTGGTTACTTAGCTGGTAACCTGGGGGAGCCAAGAGTGTATCAGAGGTATCTACTTAGGTCTGTGAGAGCCCAGAACAAATGATAGAATGTGCTGGGAGTACATGAAAAAGAGCAAAGTCACCTGTAGAAGAGAGATTTAGTGCAAGTACAAGGTCCCCTTTTGTTCTCATGGGAATTGACCCAGCCTCATAGATCTGCTTTAACAGTTTGTGACCTAATTAGCTTCATGACTCACCAGTCCCTCAAGGTTCTACTACATCAGTGTTGGCCTCCTGCGTCTCTAAGACATTAACCTACCACACCTCAACAGTGGCTGTGAGTCTGAACATTTTTCTGAAGTCATGATTTCCTTTCTGTCTACTTACAAGTTAGGGCAATTAACTCACCCAATTTCTCAGAACAATAAGCTGATGAAGTTTAGGTTTGCAAATTGGCAACTAAGAAAAAAAAATAGCCGATTCTTTGAAGTAGGTTTGTCTTCCTGCATTTCCTTTAGCAGTAGGTTCATTAAAGAAATTAGGTTTTCCTTAGCATTTAGATAGTCACTATGGCCAAGAAGATATATAGCCTATGCTTTCATTGCTCATCTTGGAAGTTGTGCCTCTTGCTGTCATAGTTTATTATACTAGTTCTCAGGAGAGTGGCAATGCCCACCGTATTTGGGAAGATTTTGATAATGAATGAATGAGACAGAGCCATCAGTTACAGTTATTGAGCACTGTACCAGATTCACTAAACTTGTATGTAAGCAATCTACTTTGGACAAGAAATTTATCAGAAGCTTAATCAGAGCTATTGACTTATTTCATAGGACTGGACCACTCTCAGTTCACTGGCTTCTGGTGGGTCATTCATGTGGTTTTTAGCTGTAGGTTTCAGAGTCACACTGAGGTATTTTAATGAAGGAATATCGGTAACATGACATTGTTTAGTAATTCAGCGTAAGGTCCTTGATTTTTCTATCTGGAAGTAGTCTCTCAAATATGGGAAAAGTCACAATAAGATTAAGATAAGGAATCATTAATACGGAAAGTTTGGGGGGGAAATGATGAAGGTCATTGTTATATTTTAGAAGAGAAACGTAAGGGAAATATGACGTTTCTTGATTTCTTTTCACATGGGAAAATGCGCTTTTCAATTATTTTTGGTTATAGAATCTCACAGCATGGTCCAGCCCTGCTGGGAAATCTCTGCAGACCAGGTTTATTCATTACTGACCACTCAGACTCGACTCCTAATATCACAGACATGTTGCCAGGTCTAAATGGCCATTTTCAAATGAGTTCTTGTTGTCAATGTTCTGTTGATACCTGGGAGTGGTTGTTTCTCCCCAGTGGCAGTGGTTCTCTGCTCTAGGATAGTCTGTGCTAAGAATCAGCCAGAGGCATTGCATCCCCGAGAGCCTTGTGAGCCATCTGGCCTGGGTGCTGGGCTCTAAGCTCTTACCAGTCCATGCTCCAGCCCCCTTTTTCTCTTGTTGTTTACTTTCTGTAAGTAAGGTGATCTTTAAATTGATACCCACCAATAATTTAGGCTTTTAGTTTTTTTTTTTTTAATTTATTTTTGAAGCTATAATGTATTCATATCATTCCTCCCTTCCCTTCTGGCTCTGAATAGTCATATGCTCTTTGAAATTTATGGCCTCCCTCTTTATTCTTTGCTGTTGTTACATGTATATATGTGTAAGTGTGTGCATGTGTGTGTGTGTGTGTGTGATTGTGTCTTCTCCCCCGTTACACCTGAGTTTTCAGGGATGATGGTTTGATATTGGATGACCAATTAATGTGCTCTTACCTAGGGAGTTTCCTGTAGTTCTTTGTGTAGGTTTAGGCCTCCTGGACTCCCTCAGCGTTTGTTTTAGCATGTCTATTGTAGCTTCAGTTGTCTCGGGGTAGGCCTAGAGTCTCTGTGCAGACTGACCTGGCGACTGATGGGAAGGCGTTCTCTGTAACCCTCTTAACTGCATATGCTTTGTCCTGTGTAGATGTTGCTTGTTAAAAACAAGTGAAATTTTAAAGAGAATAATTGCATATAAAAATTCAGTCAGGGCTTCAGGTATGGCGCAATGGTAGTAGTGTTCTTGTCTAGCTCTTATGATGCCCTTCATTTGATCCCAGCGCTACAAAGATAACAATATTAATCAGGCGATCAGACAGTATCATCTTCACTTTTCCTCAGGGGTCCAGCATTACTGACACCTGCACGGAGATGCTGATGTGTGGAATCCTGATGAAAATTTCTTCTGGAAATATTCAAGAGCGGGTGTTTTTTCTTTTCGATAATCTTTTGGTATACTGCAAAAGAAAACACAGGTAAGCTCATAAAAAGGTCACATTTTGGAAATATTATTTCCACCTCACAGGCCCCCCCATTCCTGTAGAAATCCCTAAATTCATCTTATCCTTAACCTGTTTCACTCCAGCCTGCCTTGCCTGCTCTTTTCCTGCTGGGTAGTCCTGGCTGACATGTCACTATCTCCTGTGGCCTTCCCGCAACAGCTCTCTCAAGGAGGGGGACAGATCCTGTGGGAGATGTTGGTGTGTTCCCCTCTTTCCTAATTTGACTTTGGAGCCATTTCCTCCTATATCTGCAGGAGTCTCAACATCGTGAGATTCAGTTCACCAGTTTTCCTCGTTTTCCACTCACAGAACACAGTGTCCCTGCTTTAAGCTCCGATAGCTTTCCAGTCTGTCCCTGGGGTGTTTTCAGAATTCATATAGATGATACAATGAGAACTTAGGGCCCACATTCCCTTCGCTGTTACACCTGAAGCAGCAGTCCTATGAGTGTACCAGAAGCTTGTTAGACCGGCAGTTATGAAATATGAACCTCCATTTTAACCATTCCAACCTGAAAGCTTATACCTGTGTCTATCATTAAATCCAGGGCTTTTGCAAAATTAATATCAGTGTACAAAACATTGCCATAGTGTGAGCTTACGGTCACACAGAAATTAACTGACAAGTTTTACGGAAGTAAACTGTTAACCTATGTGCATAGCAGATTTCTTTAATGCACAGTGGGGACTGCACGGTGCCTAAAAATGGAAGTAACTAGATCATCAGTTCCCAACCTGTGGGTCGTGACCCCCTTGAAGGTAGCATATCGGATATCGTGCATATCAAATGTTTACATTATGATTCATAAAAGTAGCAAAATTACAGTTATGGTTGTATAAATAATTTTATGGTTGGGGGGCCACCACAACACAAGGAACTGTATTAAAGGGTCGCAGTGTTAGGAAGGCTGAGAATTAGATTGATGTCCCCTTTCATCCAAAATTAGAGAAGCCTGTGTATGGCTTGTCTATTCCTTCAACCCAAAACATCCCAGGTCATTTACAGGCTTCACCTTAGTGTTGGGGGCCATGAAGGAGGAACAGTAAAACAGCTCTAGAACTCAACGGAATGCGGCCCACTGGTTAGCACAACCACCATGTGTTGTCTTGGTGAGAGGTGTTGTAGGAAACGATTAATATTTACTACTGTTTTATCTTTTATTAAAGCTGCTGTTAATCTTTATCTTTTATTAAAGCTGCTGTTAATCCTAAACAGCTGTATAACCAAATCACTATGATTTATTCAATTAACCTAGAACACAATGCTGGGCAATAGTTACTTCATCCTAAACCTCCAAGCCCTCATAGTTTCCTAACATTTAGATTTCCCATATTATACTTGCTTTTAGTGATATATTAGGTCCAGTTCATTCTCCATATCGTTCCAAGACCTCCCTCCAGTCTTGCTCTCTACCAGCTGTCCCCTGCCCTTCTCTCCTCCTCTGCCTCCTTCCTACACATTCCTGTCCTCTGGCTCCTCCCTCTCTTCCTGCTTCCTTTCCATTGCTCAACATTGTGGCTAGTTGCTTTATTTTGGCATGTTTACACAAAGTTGAGACAGGAGATGCTTAGAATAAGCATCACAATGCAGTGTCTGGATTGAAACCAGAGAGTGGGGGAGAGAAATCAGCATTTGAATGAACAAGGGTAAGGTGTATACATTCCAAAAGAACATCATACCAACAGCGAGGCATAACCGGAGGACTAAGTGGCCTAGGGACTTCATGCTCCTTGCTGCCCTTGTGGTCACCACATCCCTCATAATACAGGAGTTGTTAAGAGGACTCTCAGGGGGCCTCCAGCCCCTCACTGGGCAGTATCACTGGCCCTCACAATAATAATGCTTGATCCCTTTCTGGCATTGCTGCTGGAACAGATTAATGATTCAAACCTCTACCCTTGAAAAGAACCTACAGATGTAGATTGTTAGCAATGACCACTATCCTTAGAAAGAACTTGGAAAAAAATACATTGTTTAGCAAGGTTAGGTAAAGGTGTTCTTGCTAGTGACTCCAATGTAGAAAATCTTAGGGAACAATTTGAGGTTCAGAAAAGTACACTCCCTAGGGAATTTTTGAGGTTACTGAGCAAGAACCCCACTTACCACTAGTAGATATGACTCTCGAGTTGAGGCTGGGCTTCAGGGTGATTAATTTCTTGTACTAATTTTTGCCCTCAGCTTCCTGATATGATTTAATAAAAATTATTAATGGGTAGATGTGCACCTCGAGGATTTAAAGTAGAAATGGCTGCTTGGTCTTTTTATGTAAGAGTTTAGATTTGTGATTCTTTTAGGATTTTTATGAGGTTACTTTTTAAGATTGATTCTTAATTACACAAAATGCAGCCTGCCAGAAGAGAAAAGCTGGCTGAGAAATTTTCTTTGCTTGCTCACAGTTTGTTAATATATAACAAGTTGCTTAGTTACAAATGAATGTGGGTTCTTGAGAACAATTTGTTTTTCATATTTGTTTCTCACCCATAATATGTAAAACATTTGATCATGTGAGGTCATTGGGGGAACATGTTTTTCTTACATATACCTATTGTAATCATTCATGTAAAGAAAAATAGAATGTAACCACATTTTGATTTTTGTACTCCTTAAAAGATCTTGCTGGGACATATAAGCTGTGGGATAAAAAAAACAAAGTTGTTGGAAGCTTTTTCCATCCATAAAGGGGTTGGAATCCTTTTCCATCCACTAAGGAGTTGGAATATATTTTCATCCCCAAAGATGTGTACATGTGGAATTGATTGGGAGCTTTGCCCCACCCACCCAATGTGTGAGTGTGTATGTATGTATGTATGTATGTATGTATGTATGTATGTATGTATGT